CATCCACACATGAACACATAATACACGCACACTCTCCCACTCATTTATGTTACACCCCTCCACACATGAACACATAATACACGCACACTCTCCCCGCCATATCGTACACCCATCCACACATGAACACACTCTAAGTACACGCACACTACTCGCCACTCATTTATGTGTACACCCATCCACACATGAACACATAATACACGCACACTCTCCCATTTATCTGTACACCCTCCACACATGAACACATAATACACGCAAACTTCCCACTCATTTATGTGTACACCCATCCACACATGAACACATAATACAAGCGCACTCTCCCACTCATTTATCTGTACACCCTCCACAATGAACACATAATACACGCACACTCTCCCCTATTTATCTGTACACACTCCACACATGAACACATATACACGCACACTCTCCCACTCATTATGTGTACACCCATCCACACATGAACCATAATACACGCACACTCTCCCTCATTTATCTGTACACCATCCACACATGAACACATAATACACGCACACTCTCCCACTCATTTATCTGTACACCAATCACACATGAACAAATAATACATGCACACTCTGCCGCTCATTTATCTGTACACCCATCCACACATGAACACATAATACACGCACACTCTCCCAGTCATTTATCTGTACACCCATCCACACTGCACACACAATACATGCATTTATCCATACATCAATCCACACATACATAAATAATACACGCACACTCTCCACTCATTTATCTGTACACCCATCCACACATGCACACACAATACATGCATTATCCATACATCAATCCACACATACATACATAATACATGCACACTCTCCCCCGAGTCATTGTGGTTCCATACTCTTTCTATTTTGAATGGCTAAATGGCAAAGCCTACCTGGTCTGGCCTCTACCAGCACGGGCTCTGACGTGTCCGAGGGCCTCCCCACGCCACTTGCATTGACTGCTCGAACCCTGAAAACATAGGTCTTCCCTTGCTGCAGGTCACAGACCTTGAAACGACAGAGGAAAGACCATATGTGTGAGGTCAAATAAAGACGACCTTGGAAGTTTTCACATTTTATTATGAATAGGTCTTTTCAAACATAGCTTATTTTTCAGTTGAAAGAATGATACTTAGGTGAGGTAGGAAAGGAGGGAAGAGGAGATTCACGGTCATGCAGAATTTCACTTGGAGAAATAAACGCAGGTGCTACCAATCTGATAGAACCTCTTTCATTTTTTTTTACTCTTATTTTAAAGCAGAAGTAAAATCTGTATCACTAGTTTATAATCTGGTGTTTATACTTCCATATGCCCGTCCACACAGACACATGATAATTCTATGTTATGTGTTGTACACAGTCCAGCACACAGTTTAAGGGTAATAAGTTCCATAGAGTTATGAATAACCACTGTTGTAAGTGTGACATTGACTGTGTAAAATCATCACTGGGACATGAAATGAATCCATCTCTACTTGTACACACACGGGTTATTCCTACTATAACCTGCTTTGACAAATGTCAATAGATATTTACTAAGCTTCTAATTGTCTTACGTAGCTGATTCTTAGATGCTGATTTGTTCATTTTAAAGAAACTGGCTGTTCCCATTGTAAAGGGTTATCGGAAGGGTGTCACCCATGGAAGGGCCTCTTGGCCTGTGCTTGGGTGCTGGACCCAGGTGGCTGTGCTGTAGGGAGGGGCACAGGCCTGCCCAGCACGGCCCAGCACCAGAGGAGAAAACCTCTGGGTTAAAAAGCAGTTGGCAACTCAGCTGGAGCATGTTGGCCTTACAAACGTCCCAGTCACTGAGGAACCACAGACTAAAAATAGAACATTTGGAGACAGAGAGGCTGGAGCAATTGACACATAATTTTGTCCAGGGGTGAAAACTGTGTGTATATCTGTGTGGGTGTTGATCACATGGACTTTAACGGTCACACGAATCAGGTAAATAAATGCAGGGCATGAAGTGGAAGGCACCGTACAACACGCCTCATCTGTGGGAAGCACCGAGACACAGCCCGTGAACAGGTAACAGCTGTCACACTGCAATATAAAAGAAAACAGGGTGCAGTTCCCCCGGAGCAGACAGCACCGTGGTGGAGTGGGAGGAGGGCGCAGCGTTCTGAAGGCGCTGTCCCGCCGTCTGCTGGGACCGCCGTGTACGTGGCACCTACATCCTCAGCGGCCACACCCCGGTCATCGGAACAGGTCCGCCTCAGGGCTCCGTGCTGCTTGCAGAGATAACAGCTCTTTCACACAAAGGGAGACTCCAGACGAAGCCTACTTATTTTTTTTATTTTGTTTTGTTTGGTTTGTGTTTTGTTTTTGAGACAGAGTCTCACTCTGTCTGTCGCCCAGGCTGGAGTACAGTGTCACAATATCAGCTCACTACAACCTCTGCCTCCCGGGTTCAAGCAATTCCTACATCAGCTCCTGGGTAGCTGGGATTACAGGCGCCACCACGCCTGGCAATTTTGTGTGTGTGTATTTTTAGTAAAGATGGGGTGTCACCATGTTGGCCAGGCTGGTTTCAAACTCTGACCTCAACTGATTGGCCCGCCTCTGCTTCCCAAAGTGCGGGATTATAGCATGGGCCACCGCACCCGGCAAGACTCACCTTTAAATAACGGTTGGCTGTTGCCGTCTGATTGACAGTGATCCACTCTCCAGCATCCTCCTCCTTGAAGTCCACGAAGTACCCAGAAACAGGGCTGCTGCCGGAGTACACGGGGGCCTTCCACAGCATGACCAAGGACGTGTCCCTGACCTCACAGAACGTCAGGTCGTATGCAGGGCCTGTGACGTCAGATGCCACCTTGCCTTTGTGTGCAGAGCCAGTCCTACACACCCACTCCAGCCCTGGGGACCAGCTGCTCCTCCGGGATGCCCCATCAGGACCCTGGGTATCTGTTCCCAATCGATGTGCTATCAGCCTCTCTTGGAGAGCGTGGTAAAGAGGGTGCTCACATGATGTTGGGGGTGGAGGATGAGGGCCCAGCCTAACGCTCCTGCCACCCCCTCTGTGGGCATCAGGGCAACTGTGGATCCATGTAGAATCATCCAGAAGTCCACGCTGCATTGGGGGACCAGGAGATACTATCACAGAGAGGAACGGTGTGCAGAAAAGGACGGGTTAAGTTACCCTCCCCGGGCTGGACGCCTGTGGGTCACAGTCACTCAGAGAGCCTGCCCACCTGGCCGGCAGCAACAGCTGCAGCCTGCCCTCTACAAACACCCACGGCAACTCTGAGGGTGTGGCACTGAGGCCAGGTCCAGGCAAGCACCACGTGGTGCAGGGAGGGAACAGAGAGGCAGCCCCCCACCACCCTCAGCCAGACTCACTGCAGCCTCGTGCCTCAAGAGGCTGCCTCCTATCAACCCTCAAAAAGGCTCGGGAACTCTAATGGCTTTTTTTGTACTTGGTTTTCTAAGGTCCATAAATTAATTTCATTAAAACAAGAAAGGTAGGAAGGCAGGAAAGAAGGTAGCAAAGCAGGTGGAAGGGAGGGAGGGAGAGAGGGAGGGAGGGAGGGAGGGAGGGAGAGAGGGAGGGAGGGAGGAAGAGAAGGGAAGAAGGGAAGGGAAAGGAAGGGAGGGGAGGGGGAGGGAAGGATTTATTTATCTGGATTCTTAGCAGCTGATTTACTAAGTCAAAAGACACTGACTGAAAGGAGAAAAGCAGTATCCTCTGGCCGTAACATTGGGAAACATTCCGAGCTTTCGAGTTTTTCAGCTTCAGCTTTCAGGTTTTACTTTCCCGAAGTACACATATATTATCCATTGCATTGATCCCTGATTGGTTACAGACAAATCAACATCTGGCACTTGGGAACTTGTGAAAACAGAAAGTGAGCAGGGCACGGTGATGGAACCTGGAGTCCCGGCTACTCATGAGGCTGAGGTAGAAGATGGCTTGAGCCCAGGAGTTCAAGAACACAGCCTGGGCGACATAGAGAGACTTCATCTCAAAATGAAAAATGAGTGGGAGTGCCAGCTAAATCAAAGTAGGGTTTGTACCTTTAGAACTGGAAGCCCCGAGATCCCAAATGCTCTGAGAGGAAAACAGCAGGAGGTGACCCACAAATGAGTGGCCTGCTGTGCCTCCCAGCTGGGGCCTGGCACCTTTCCCTCCACCGGAGACCCTCTCCGCCTGCCCTTCGGTCCCTCTCTGCTCTTTGGGGGAAGGGGACCGGGCCAAGTCCTTGTCATAGGTCAGGGGATGCACGGCAAGCTGTCCCTCTCCCCACGGTCTGGGTTGGGTGTCCTCCTGTGCTCCCTCCAGCCTCACCTCAGGGCCTCCCACTCTGCCCTCAACATCAGCCTCTGGATCACACACGCCCAGACTACACGCTGTGTCTGCCTAACTCAATTCACAGTCCCGAGCAGTGCCTGGCACACAATGGCTCTGTGGCTGCAGGTGCCAGAGGAAAAGATGCATTGTGAAAGCTGGCAAGACCTGAGCCGCAGCCGCAGAGGCCCCTTCCAGGCCAGCCTGTGCACTAGAAGGCAGGTGTCCTGGGGGCAGCCACTTACCGGGCTCTGGCATGGTCCAGGCCTCACACTTGAAGTGCTCGCTGGGGTCTGAGGGCTCCCCGATGCCGGCCAGGTTGACGGCAGCAATTTTGAACTCGTAGAGGGAGCTTCTGTCAAGCCGTCCACCTGTTCAGATTTGTTTAAAGATCATGTGAGATAAAGGATGCAGCATTACAACCCACTGAGGGAAAGGAGTTGTTATAACCGGCTTGTGAAATAAAACATGAGAGGAAGGAACCTTGTCAGGAAATTGGAGCAAAGATTTCAGGAGGCTCTTGATGCATCTGACAAGCTGCAGCTGTGTGAAACCTACATGTGTCTCTCACTCAATTCCCAAAGGCTCCTCGGGGGTGGGGGACAGGTGATACCCCAGAAGCAGGTAAGGAAAACTGAGGCCCAGAGGGTGCGTCACCCAGAGCCAAGGCAAGGGCAGAGAACTGGAGGAGACAGGCACTGAGGCCACATGCTGTCCCCTGAGCAGGCTTGCCCTGGACAACAGGGGTCACCTGGAGATGGAGCCCACATGCCCACCACACTCTGACTCCGCAGGGCAAGGGCCCCCAGGTTGCCCAGGTCCCTGGGTGCTGCAGTCCCGAGCCACCCTGTAGGCCCTCGAGGACGCTGCCTGGCTGGGGGACAAAGCTCTAGGAAGGCCTTTGGCCAACTCCAGGAGCCTCAACTTGCAGGGCTGTGGAACAACAAAAACACTCTCTAGGTAAACACTGTTTCAAAAAATAGCTTCCATAGCAAGATGTCTGAGGATAAACCACTTCAGTCCGAGGTGAGGGCCTTCATCTCCTCACCAAAGTAGAGCGAAGCATTCAGAAAGGAAGCAGGTGTTTTCCAGGAATTTCGCATGGAGTAAAGAATGTTTGCTGAGTGAGATGAGCCAGGCACAGGACAGACACGGGTGATCTCGCTCAGATGTGAATCTAAAACAGCTGCACTCACAAAGACAGGGTCCCGAAGGGTGGGCACGGGCCGGGGAGGCGCTGACAGAGGGACAAGGGTGCTGGACGGGGGAAGAACTTCCAGCAGGCACAGGAGAAGTGCGAGTTCCAGACTCTTGCACAGCACGGAGATGATGTAGCATAATAATGTGCTGTAGAGCATTTCAAATAATTTTTACCTAGATTTTAGGCCAGGAGCATGGCTCACACCTGTAATCCCAGCACTTTGGGAGGCCGAGGTGAGCAGATCACCTGGGGTCAGTCAGGAATTCAGGACCACCTGGGCAACATGGTGAAACCCTGTCCCTACTAAAAACCAACACAAACATTAGCCAGGGTGGTGACGAGTGCTATACCACTCGGGAGGCTGAGGCACCGAGAATACGTGAACCTGGGCGGCGGACGTTGCAGTGAGCCGAGATCGTGCCACCGCACTCCAGCCTGGGTGACAGAGTGAGACACTGTCTCAAAAATAATCCATACAATAAACAGATTTAAATGTTCTCACCACAAAAATCATAAGTACTGGGAGGCAATGAAGATGTTAATCAGCTTGATTTAATCAAGCTAATGTACCCATAATCCATAATGTAATATTAAAATATTACATTGTACCCCACTTATACAAACAATTCTTATTTGTCAATTAAAAAATACAATAATTTTCAAGTTGAGAACATTTAGACATTCTAAGGCATCAGAACACAGATTGAATGTGGGCAGATATCAATAACGTCACAACAAACTGGAAAGTTACCCATATATCACAACGTTTACCTAAATATTAAAAATATATTACACATTACAAGAGATATATTTATAAAGCAGAATTTTCTACTAGACAAAGATTAGCTCTTCGAAGACCTTGCCCTCTCCAAAAAGAAAGCCCTCCTGTTGGAGTGTAAGAGACTCCCCAGGGGTCTTGTGGCAGTCACAGGGTTGGGACGGGACTGCAGTGTGAGGTGAGGGTCATTCATCCATGCTCAGATGAGGGGTCAAGGGCCAGACAGGGGAAACAGGACTGTGGCTGCCAAGGGCGCATCTGGATCTGACCCCAGATCTCTGAGCTCTGTGTTCAATGTCCTTGCCATCTGCACCTGAGCATCAGGGCACTGCAGCGAGGGACTCCCTTGGAGGCTTGAAATACAAGCATGTCTCAGGGACGTGGTGGGTGACAGGCAGAGAGTCAATGTCACTCTCTTCCTAAACACACATTCAGCATGACTCTCCCCTCGGGCACCCCCGTGAGACTGCGTCCCTACCTCAAGGCCTCAGAGCTCGGAACAAGTGACCTTATCACAGGTACTGGGACCAGGTCCTGGTCACACCAGAGGTCACTGACTCACTGCAGACCCACTCTATCACTGAGCTCTCTTCGTCACTGCTTCAGAAAGAAAAAGAATATGATTCCTAGGATCTTTTCAGCTCCAAAGCTTCATGATCTCATGATGCCATTTTTTTAACCCATTTTTGTGTCTGTATCAAATATCTAATGTCAGCAAACTCGGAAAACACTGCCCAAAATGTAAAAGAACCACCAGGCAAGAAAAAACGAACAGACAAAACCAACCAACCGTTAGGATTGTCGGTTTGCTGGGCGAGGAGTTGACCTCGTGCCAGTTTTTATGGGGCACTTCGCGCTTGTCCATGTAGTAGCCCAGGATGGCTGAGCCACCACTGACCTTGGGACCTTCCAGCGAGGGTCATGGAGTGGCCGTCACAGTTGAGGAGCGTGATCCCATAAGGATGGGACGGCACCACTGCAAGGAAGCAAGCCGGGAGGTTACCGAGGACCTCAGCTGGGGGCTGTTGTCCCGGGGCGCAGCTCTGAGTGGCAAGGGAGGAGGAAGCACCGCCGGGACGGGCCTAGACACTGCGCCCTCTGATCCCTCTCGACCCACATTTAACCATTCTGATCTTTATGCCTTTTTAAAGGGGATGAGTTATAAAAATAAATAAGAGTATATGTCATATATACTTACTGCTATTCTAAATGTATCTGCTAAGGTTTCCATAGGACAAGGGCACTGAACAGTTTAAATCTGGCTCGTGAACATTTGACAGAGCAGATGTCCTGTCCTCCCTGTCCCTAAAAGCAGCTTGGAGAGGAGCTGTAGCCTTTACAGCCATAAGGAGCAACTGCTCTGCATCTGTGGCCAGAGACGACAGATAGTATTCCAGCTTGTTTTAACTTCCTGCTCAGTTGTAGGGAGCTTCAGATTCCTTCAAATGAGTATGAATTCTCGTTTCCCTGTTTGAGCAGGACATTGGAAACGGACCGTCTTCCGCTAGCAGGTCTACAAAGCAGGCCCGAGTCTGCTTTGCCCCAGCTCTGAGTCATCTCAACGTGGCCATCCTCCGTTACCTGAGACCAGGTGGCTAGAGTAAGTGATTCTTACTGTAGAATAAACAGGCCGTGCACAGTGGCTCATGCCTGTAGTCCCAGCACTTTGGGAGGCTGAGGCAGGAGGAAGGCTTGAGCTCCTGAGTTTGAAACCAGCTCTGGGCAACATGGTGAAACCCCATCTCTACAAAAAAAATTAAAAACTTAGCTGGACATGGTGGTGCGTGCCTGTGGTCCCAGCTCATAGGAGGCTGAGGCGTGAGGATCACTTGAGCCCAAGAAGGTGGAGGCTGCAGTGAGCTGTGATCGCACCACTGCACTCCAGCCTGGGCAACAAAGTGAGACTCTATCTCAAAGAAAAAAAAAGAAAAGTGACTGGCTTTCATTTAGTAGAGTGACTTAAAAAGGAAATGGAATGTTTGAAAATCCCCTCTGAAAAAACTGAGAGGAGATTAGAGTCATCTTAAAAGAGTCAGCACCATTGTACCTAGCTAGGTATGATCAGAATTGACATTCCCTGGAAATCCAGCAGCAGTATCATTAGAAGATAAGTTTTAGGGCCTGGCGCGGTGGCTCAAGCCTGTAATCCCAGCACTTTGGGAGGCCGAGGCGGGTGGATCACAAGGTCAACAGATCGAGACCATCCTGGTCAACATGGTGAAACCCCGTCTCTACTAAAAATACAAAAAATTAGCTGGCACGTGGCGCGTGCCTGTAATCCCAGCTACTCGGGAGGCTGAGGCAGGAGAATTGCCTGAACCCAGGAGGCAGAGGTTGCAGTGAGCCAAGATCGCGCCATTGCACTCCAGCCTGGGTAACAAGAGTGAAACTCCATCACAAAAAAAAAAAGAAGATAAGTTTTAATTTCTCAAAATATTATAAACTTAGTTGGAGATGAGAAAATCATTAAAGAGCAAAACTGTTCTCTCTGTGAGTCAAGATATGTTATATGTGGCCTCTGTGTTCCCAAATCTTCCTGAATATTGTGCTTTCTCAGAGGCGCATGTCATAAGAAAACAGCCACAAGATACAGGACAGCGTCACAGAGCGACTGTTCTACGGACGGCCCCGAGACAGGATCCCGAAACTGTAAACACCTCTATTATGAACAAAGTCACAAAGTTCCATAAACGTGACATTCCCTGAAAGGATCAAAGTTCCCTGAACTGAGTAGGGTGATTGACGTTACTGTATTTCAGCACATATTTTAAAAAGAGAAATGTATCCCCTACAGCACATATTTTAACATGAGTGCAGGCATTTGGCAACACATGGGACCTCTAACAATATTTTGTATTTTTGATTCACACTTTATCGGCGTATTACCATTTCTGCCTCTCGCACTGTCATTTCTAAGACAAGCAGCCGGCTGACAGGCTCTGAAGACCTGCACGTTCTCTTTCAACCATTTGGTCCCCTGTCTTCCTCCAGTAACCTTCCAAATGGCATCATAAATGTTTCTTCATGCAGAAATTACAGTGTGCGGGAGCGGCCGGCACAGGACAGCCGCAGGTGACTTACTGAGTGCCGCCTGCACTCTGATGACGTCCGATTCCTGGGAGTTTTCACTCATCCCCACGGCGTTGACGGCCTTGACCCGGAGACGTACTGCTCTCCCGTGGTTAAGCCGTGCACCACGAACCTGAGAAACAGAGAGAGCAGCGTCAGAACCGCGAGGCCCCGCTCTCTCTCTCCTGCAGCGGAAGCGGAAATCATGCTGAACACATCATGCAAAGTCTCTGTTCATCACATGCGTCCTTCGTTTCCAGTTCCAGTTAATTAGCTCAACATTTAGAGCCTGAAAGTGAGGTCATGGCACCCAATTACAGCCAGAGTGACTACCAGTGGTGTCAAAGCCACTCGTTCTGTGACCTCCCCTTTGCTTTTGCACTTCCTGGGCCTTGTCTGGATCAAAGGTCTATTATCCAACAGGGTGCCATTTCCGACTTGAAAGCACCCAGGCATGTGAAGTGTAATGAGCAGGGGCCAAAGGCCAAGCCTTTGAAGTCACATAGACTAGCCTGGAAGACTGGCTTTGACACCTGACAGATGCTACCGCCCTAATCAAGTTTCTTAGCCCCTGTTAAGACTCTGTTTTTCTGTCTGTAAGATGGGATGATCATTCCTACCTCACAGCATTGTTTCAGGCACTCCATGGAAACCTCTAGCTAGAGAACTTAGCACAGTAGCCTTGTGGAGGGCAGATACTCAGTACATGTCAGCAGTTATTAGTTATCACATACGGTCAATAAACATTCTCTAACCATTTCCCTGCACTGGTAATGTTTTAAGTTTCTTATTTTGGTTGTTCTTTCTGCATTTGGTGTGGACTGAGAACATCTAATTGTTACTCTTCTCAATGGCGTCTCTCCTTGTTAGCCACGGCTTTTTACGGTGCATTTTTTTTTAAGATTTTAAAAGGAGAAATGGCTGAGCCATAATTGATCATCTGTCCACAAGGCTGATTCTGACAGCTGCCTACATTTTCCTAAGAAGCGTGTTGCGGAGAAACCTAATAATCTTGGACATCCCCGCACACTCAGCAGCCAGCAGGAGGAAGTCCTCTCCAAAGGCAGGGCCACTGGCTTTCGCCCGCAAAGCCAACCAGCACCCTCCAAGTTGCCCCCACCATGAGCAAAGTGTGGGCTCCTGGTGAGGTCTCCATCACGAACCAGAGAACAGAACTACCAGGCATGTGAACAAGGCAACTTTAAAGTTCAAAAAAATCAATACATAAAAATAATATGACTTTCACACCGTAGTAGCTATTTTTAACTCTCCTAGTGCAAGAAAAGGCTTAAGTGCTAATTATGTCAAAAAAAAAAAAAAAAACAAAACAGGTTCTGGAACTGTCCTTTAATTCATAAGGAAATCATTTTGGTGAAGAGCATGTGTAGTAAGCAGCTCGTCCAAGCAGTCAGACTTGAAAGGTACGCAGCCCTCTCGCGTGGCTGAGGCTCATGTATGCAGAAGCCTCGCGGCCGTGGTGCTCCCTGTGCTGGGACCACGGAACCTAAATGGTCTTGCTTCCCACGCTTCATTTCACGGCTGACTCCAGGGCTGGGTGGGAGGCGGGAGCCGCACCTGTTGTATCCGATGGGCTTGTGGTTGCAGGGTTCCCAGGCATTGGTTCCGGCCACACAGCAGTCCACGTAGTAGCCCAGCAGGTCTTCCTCGTGCTTGGGTCTGTCCCACTGAACCACCACTGACGTCTTGGTGTTTCGGGATGCAAGAACCCGACCAGGAGCAGAAGGGACAACTTTACATAGGAGACAACAGGAGTGATGAAATGGCATCAGAGCTTTGGAGGCTACACCAGAGATCTCCCTGACCTTTTCACAGGGGACTGGACAGCCAGTTGGGGGTTTGGAAGAAATTCAACAAGGGGTCCGAGAGCAAGAGCCGAGTCCGGGGCTGACCACCCGAGGGACGTTGGAGGGGCTGGCCACTCCCATCTCCTCCCAAGCTCCACACAACTCCTAGAGACGCAGAATGACATCCTGAAGCCTCCCATCCTCCACCAGAGCTTTAAAAAGATCCTCCGTTGGCACTGGGGGTCAGGCTGCCTTGGTAACAACTATTTTTTGGACTGGAAATTGCCAATTTTAAGAAAGTAAGACTTGTTTTTATCAGATCTTTTGGAATCTCCCAGGGGACTCAAAATTCAATCATGACGTGACCATCGGATCTTCTCGTCTCATGCCAGGCCTCACTAGTGGACTGCGGATCGGGGCATGTTCAGGCCACGGTACTGCTCGTGTCCTCTGCGCCGGCCACCTGGGCCAAAACCACAGTGTTTCTCAATTATGCTGATGGTCATTCTCCACGTGTCATAAATCGAAAGAAGGCTGGGACCTGTGAGAGACAGCTGGTCTCGCCAAACCTGTGGTTCTGGGAATGAGTTCTAAGAACTTCAATTAAAACGAGAACCAGGTAGAAACTTGAGGACACCCTGGAGGCAGCCGGCCTCATGACCTTGTTCATTTCCGTATCTGGCTTTCTCGGGAAACACGGCAGAGAGAGAGAGAGCGGAGGGTACCCAGGCACTCGGACCTTGTTCCTGACACCAACGTGCCTCCCATGAAGGCTTCTGGGGACTTCCATGGGGCCTGCACTTACACGCTAGTTAACTGCAACCCATGAAGGAGCTATGACTTCACGGATTACAATTCAAAATTTCTGTAATCTGTATTTGAAACCTTGCAAGAGGGACCTCAAGCCAGATGAGCAAGAAACTCTAGTGCCCGGCTGGGTTCACTGGCTCACGCCTGGAATCCCAACATTTTGAGAGGCCAACATGGGAGGGTTCCTTGAGTTCAGGAGTTCAAGACTGGCCTGGGGAAGATGGTGAAATCCTGTCTCTACAAAACAGTTTTTTTTAAACACACACACACACATACACCCTAGTGTACTTAAAATTTGAATTACTTTAACAGTGACCATTGCAGAGAAAAGGCAACACTCATACACTGTTGGTGGGAATGGAAATTAGCTCAACCATTGTGGAAAGCAGTGTCGTCATTCCTCAAAAAGAGAACTATCATTCAGCCCAGCAATCCCAATACGGGGTATACCCCCAGGAGAATATAAATTGTTCTACCATAAAGACATATGGGTGTGAATGTTCACTGTAGCACTATTCACAATAGCAAAGACATGGAATCAACCCAAATGCCCATCAATGACAGACTGGACAGAGAAAATGTGGTGCATGTACCCCATGGAATACTACGCAGCCATAAAAAAGAACAAGACCATGTCATCGGCAGGAATGTGGGTCGAGTTGGAGGCCATTATCTTTAGCAAACTAATGCAGAAACAGAAAACCAAATACCAAGAGTTCTCACTTATGAGTGGGAGCTAAATGATGAGAACTCATGGATGCACAGAGGAACAACACACACTGGGGCCTTCTAGGGGGTCTAGGGTGGGAGGAGGGAGAGGGGCAGGAAAGTAGCTAACGGCTACTAGGCTTAGTACCTGGATGACAAAATAATCTTTACAACACACCCCCATGATACAAACCTACACATGGAGCCCTGAACCTAAAACAACAGTTAAAACAAAAAGTTTAAATAAAACAATAAAAGTGACTGTTTCCGAAACGTATTTTTCAACTCACTCTCCGGTTTCATGAAAAGAAGATGGAACTTTGGAGAAGCGTCAGGAACCAAACAAAACATGTCCGAGAGCTCTTAATCTCTCATAAAGTGATTTTACAGTCAACTTGAACTTCAACGCACTTACAACGTCAATGTCTTAGTCACACAATTTAAGACTATTTGGTGTCACCCCACTTTTAGCCTGTCCTGACTTGGGGGCACCCAGGGTGACAGCTCACCAGTTATGTCCTGGGCCTGAATGGGAGACGTTATCTCCGACGGCTCGCTCAGGCCGTGCCGGTTTGCGGACAGCACTCGGAACACATATGACTTCCCCTCCATAAGGTCAAACACCGCATATCTCGGGGACCTCACAGCCGTCTGGGCGTTGACTCTCTGCCAGCTGCCACTTCCCACCACGGACTACAAAGAGAAATGAGACAGGAAGTGAAAAGAGAGAGGTTCCCCGAGTTGTGTGGAAGAAAGCGCAGTTCTCGCCAATGCAGGTCCACCAGGAGCTCCTGCTGCCTCTCACACACAGAGGATTGTCATGCATCTTTTTTTTCTAGATGGAGTCTTGCTCTGTTGCCCAGGCTGGAGTGCAATGGCACAATCTCTGCTCACTGCAAACTCCACCTCCCGAGTTCAAGCGATTCTCCTGCCTCAGCCTCCTGAGTAGCTGGGATTACAGGCATGCGCCACCACATCTGACTAATTTTTGTATTTTTAGTAGAGACAGGGTTTCACCATGTTGGTCAGGCTGGTCTCAAACTCTTGACCTCATGATCTGCCTGCCTCGGCCTCCCACAGTGCTGGGACTACAGCGATGAGCCACCGCAGCCGGCCTTTTTTGAGCTGTATGAAACATGCTGCTGATTTAGAGAAGGAAGTAAATTACCCAGAGGTGATAATATTTACTAATACAATTTTTTTCCATTAAATTATTCAACCATAGAAAACGTAAGGGAATCAATACCTAGGTTGTAGTTTTAGTAAAATGGAATGAACCTGCAAATAATGAAAGATAATTTAGGAGTATGTTTGTAAAATTCCATCATAACTCAGTGGGTCGCATTTCAATTTAAAATTATTACCACAGTGTGGCTACCTGGGGGAGTGACAAAATGTCAGCAATCTAAATGACTGTCAATACGGTAGCACACATTACATGTGCCTAGATTAAAAACCGCATGGCCACCTGAATATTGTATCACGATCGTTAGTCTAATAAGAGGAATTATGCTATTTTTGTGAAATGTAACACAATGAAAATTGTGTAATATAACAAGTACATTACAATCTATGGAGAAAAAGACTATAAATGTATGTACCACATATTAATATGGCTATTTTATACGATGGAATTATTGCTGATTTTAATTGCATTCCATCTAACTTCTCTGTCTTTCCCAAATTCTATACACTGCTTGTTTGATTTTTGTCTTTTGTAATTACTTTAAAAGCCCTGATTACGTTTTATTATTTTTTTCACAGAGATAAAGCTCCGTTTTTGAATGCGGTTTTGTGGTAGTAAAAGTTGGATATACGCTGACCCTGCTAAGTCTGCTGAAAATTTCACACAGCGACCCAGATGTCTAGAAATTAGATTCGTATTTGAAGGAGTTTTCTCTCAATTTGGTGAATGTGAAAAGTCGCTATCTTGCATCTGCCCCCAGCATCCGTGGTGGGAACCCCATGGCGTCATGGGCCTGAGACCCTGCCAGCCCCAAGCCCCGCAGTCCAAGTGGCTACAGGAGAGCTTCTTCTCCTACATCGGAACGTGGACCCACAATGGGAATGCTTATCCACTGCTGGGGGAATGTCAGTGAGTTCAGCCACTGGGGAAAGCAGGTTAGAGACTTCTCAGAGAACCTAAAACAGAAGTATGACTCCATCCAGCAATCCCACTACTGGGGATATGCCCAAAGGAAAATAAATCATTCTACCAGAAGACACATGCACTAATATGTTCATTGCAGCACCGTGCGAACATACACGTGCGAACACAACAGCGAAGACACGGAAGCCCGCCACCCAGTGCCGATCAGTGGTGGACTGCATAGAGAAAACGCAGTGCAACCCCCTTGTGGAGTACTACACAGCCATAAAAAGGAACGAAATCCTGTCCTGTGCAGCCACCTGGGTGCTGCTGGAGGCTGTTATCCTAAGTGATTTAACACAGGAACAGAAAGCCAAACACCGTATGATCTCACTTACAAATGGGAGTTAAACACTGAGTTCAGGGGGACACAAGATGTCTACAGTAGACACGCAAGCCTACCAGGTAGGGCAAGGGCTGAAAAAGCACCTACGGAGCACTGTGCTCACCAGCTAGGTGATGAGATCAATTGCACCTGGAAATCAGTGTCTCACAACAAGCCCTGTCAAAAGCTACAGGCTCCCTGAAGCTGAAACAAAAGTTCGAATCGCATTTTCTTAAAAGTGTGTGTCTGCCGCAAAGGCACAAGAAGGAGACAGCGGACTTGGGGACTTGGGGGAAAGAGTGGGAGGGGAGCAGGAGATAAAAGACTGCAAATAAGGGTGCAGTGTACACTTATCCGCTTATCGGATATCTGGGTCGGGGATGGGTGCACCGACATCTCACGGATCACCGCTGAATAACTTATTCATGTAAGCACGTACCACCTGTTCCCCCAGTAACTTATGGAAAAATAAAATAATAAAATCACTTTGGGAGGCCGAGGCGGGTGGATCACGACGTCAAGAGATCGAGACCATCCTGGTCAACATGGTGAAACCCGGTCTCTACTAAAGATACAAAAAATTAGCTGGGCATGGTGGCGCGTGCCTGTAATCCCAGCTACTCAGGAGGCTGAGGCAGGAGAATTGCCTGAACCCAGGAGGCGGAGGTTGCGGTGAGCTGAGATCGCGCCATTGCACTCCAGCCTGGGTCACAAGAGCGAAACTCCATCTCAAAATAATAATAATAATAATAATAAAATTTACGAAAAGAAAAAAATAAAGCATGCCTGTCACGTAATCAATACTGACAGCAGGCGGGGATGTTGACAGAGTCTGCCCACACACGACTCCCGGTAGAGTGCTCACTCTAAAACTGTGTTCACAGGTGAGGTGTCATGGCTTGCCCGGCCTGCAAACACATTGAAGTGCCAGTAATCCCAGCACTTTGGGAGGCTGAGGCAGGAAGACTGCTTGAGCCAGGAATTTGAGACCAGCCTGGGCAACACGGCGAGACCTCCTCTCTACAAAAAAATGGAAAATCAGCTGGGTATGGTGGCGCACACTTGTGGTCCCAGCTACTCTGGGGGTCAGGGGGCTAGGGCAGGAGGAGCGCTTGAGCCCAGGAGGTAGAGACTGCAGTGAGCTGCGACTGCCCCACTGCATTCTGGCCTGAGTGACAGAATGAGAACAGGTCTCAGAAATAAAAATGCATTTGCAAACTTGGTGTTTCTGGTAGTGACGGAAGATGAGGGAGTGAGGGGCCTGAGAAGATGCCTTCTGCCTAGGAGAGCCCCACACAGGGACTGGCCACTTGTATTTTCCTAACACAGATAAGTATACTTTGTCACCCAGAATTAACAATGTAATGCTTTACCCTGAAATTATCCCACTTTCTACCCCCCCAGATATCATGCATTGCAGATAAGCAGAGAAGGCCAGAGGGTCCTCCTCCATTCCGGAGTCTGAAACATGGTCCATTTCCATTTCTGTTTCTGCCATGCTGTACTGAGTGGTGCTATATGTGATTACTGCATTAGATGGCATAAGCTTAGACATGCCATATTATTCATCACGTGCATACTACATGCTGTATCACATATTAGTATATACATTTTAGTGACAGCCTTTGTAGGACATTGGAGGCTTATCCAACTGTGGCTACAACCCACAAGAGGGTCACCAGGTCAGATGAGTGAGTCACAACCTGTGTTTTTAATGCCACAGGACAGACCAGCTTCAAGAGAGAATGCGTGCTGGGTGAGGTAATCATTTGTGAGGTCCTCTAGGTGACATACATATACGTGTGCCTGTGTCTGTTGTGTATGTTTGCAGAACTGCAATGTACAATGCATTTTGTATTTCTTTGTATGCATGCAGGTCAAAAAAGCAGCCACCAGCGGACGATCTGGTGACTCCAACCCCTGTCCGTCTTGTGTGAATTTCCTATACACGACTGCCACCCAGTGGCCACACGGCTCGTGCACAAGCAAAGCCAGTGAGGAATCCGGAATACCTCGCCGGTCGGTGCCTGGGAAGTTGCAGCAGGAAGGAAAAGGTAGATCCCTCAAGGTCAGCCATCCACAGGGCAGTGGAGAACACACGCGCCCAGAGAGGGAAGCAGCTCCCCGCTCACACCAAGGGGCAACTCTGGGCTGGGACGCAGCCCAGCCCCCGGGGCCAATTTCCACCCCAGAACTCCCCTGCTGAGGCGTGACCTCAGGCCTAACCTCATCTTCCCCAGACACAGTGAAGCATTTGTACCCACAAACCATCTTTAAAACACAACAGACGGCCGGGCGTGGTGGCTCAAGCCTGTAATCCCAGCACTTTGGGAGGCTGAGGAGGGTGGATCATGAAGGTCAAGAGATCGAGACCATCCTGGTCAACATGGTGAAACCCAGTCTCTACTAAAAATACAAAAAATTAGCTGGGCATGGTGGTGCATGCCTGTAATCCCAGCACTTTGGGAGGCTGAGGCGGGTGGATCACGAGGTCATGAGATTGAGACCATCCTGGTCAAAATGATGAAACCCCGTCTCTACTAAAAATACAAAAAATTAGCTGGGCATGGTGGCACGTGCCTGTAATCCCAGCTACTCAGGAGGCTGAGGCAGGAGAATTGCCTGAACCCAGGAGGTGGAGGTTGCGGTGAGCCGAGATCGCGCCATTGCACTCCAGCCTGGGTAACAACAGCGAAACTCCGTCTCAAAAAAAAAAAACAAAAACAAAAACACAACAGACATGATGGTGTGAGGCCACGCAGAGGTCAGCTTTTCCAGGACATGGCCCGGAGCTTACCTTCTCGATGAAGTATGTGAGGGGGTCCCTGCCACGGGGACTGGGTGGCTCCCAGCTGAGGACAACGTAGTTTCTGCTGATTTCAGAGGCGTGCACGTTGGTGGGAGGCCCTGGAATCTGGACATCACCTGGAGGAATCATAGACTCAGTGAGTGATGGAGGACTCTGCCAGCGCCACTGCAGCCCATCTCCCGGCACTGGAGGACTCTTCGAGGTGGGTGTTGCTCTTCATTTTATTTCTATTCGGGGGAAGCAAACAAACCCCAAGGACTGCTTCTTCAGAGCCGGAGGATAAGGAACCATTAAAGATCCCAGTTATTTTGGCTTCTAATAGAGAAATAAGCCAGTTCATAAGAAAACAATCTCAGCCAGGCGTGGTGGCTCACACCTGTAATCCCAGCACTTTGGGAGGCTGAGGCAGGTGGAACATGAGGTCAGGAGATTGAGACCCTCCTGGCCAACATGGTGAAACCCCATCTCTACTAAAAATACAAAAATTAGCTGGGCGTGGTGGTGTGTGCCTTTAGTCGCAGCTACTCAGAAGGCCGAGGCAGGAGCATCGATTGAACCTGGGAGGCGCAGGCTTCAGTGAGCCGAGATCGTACCACTGCACTCCAGCCTGACAACGGAGTGAGACACCATCAAAAAAAAAAAAGAATCTCAGCCAGGCACGGTGGCTCAAGCCTGTAATCCCAGTACTTTGAGAGGCCAAGGCGGGTGGATCACGAGGTCAAGAGATCGAGACCATCCTGGTCAACATGGTGAAACCCCATCTCTACTAAAAATACAAAAATTAGCTGGGCATGGTGGTGCGTGCCTGTAATCCCAGCTACTCAGGAGGCTGAGGCAGGAGAATTGCCTGAACCCAGGAGGTGGAGGTTGCAGTGAGCCGAGATCGCGCCATTGTACACACAAGCCAGTGCTAAGCACACGCAAGACACCACTAAGCACACACAAGACACTGCTAAACACATGTGAGATACCATGAAACGAGATGCCGCTAGGCACACGTGAGATGCTGCTAAGCACACACGAGACACTGCTAAGCACACACAAGACACCGCTAAGCACACATGAGACCCCACTAAGCACACGAGACACCGCTAAGCACACACGAGACACTGCTAAGCACACACAAGACACTGCTAAGCACACACGAGACCCCACTAAGCACACGAGACACCGCTAAGCACACATGAGACACCGCTAAGCACACATGAGACACTGCTAAGCACACACAAGACACCACTAAGCACACAAGATACCACTAAGCACATGCGAGACACCGCTAAGCAACATGAGACACTGCTAAGCACACAAGATGCCACTAGGCACATGCGAAACACCACTAAGCACACAAGAGACACTGCTAAGCACATGTGAGAAGCTGCTAAGCACACACAGGACACCACTAAGCACATGCAAGACACCACTAAGCACACATGAGACCCCACTAAGCACACACGAGACATCACTAAGCACACACAAGACACCACTGAGCACACACAAGACACCACTGAACACACATGAACACGAGACACCGCTAAGCACGTGTGAGACATCACTAAGCACATTCGAGACACAGGCAGACAGTTCTAGCCCCAGGGCACTGACGCCGCCCTCATCTCTGCTTCAGCCCTGAAGGCTCCCTAGCCCTGTTCCAATGGGCCAAGTCAACGCTAGATGAAAACAGCGAGATGTCTAAAACACACATACTTTTTGTATTGTCACATGTTATATACATTATCAATATATAATACATAGTGTTTTAAAAAGCGTTCACATCCAGTATCTTGTGTTTGGCTTTGTTCATGTATGGAGGAAGACACTGTTGCTTTCCTCCACTTAAAAACCCAGAGATGGATGGAGCTCATAAAAACGGAGCTCTTTCCTAAGTCGCACAGCTACTGCGTGGCCGGATTGGGGTCCAGGCTTAGGTCTTCTGGTTCCAACTTCTGCATCTGACTCCCTCATCCACCTAAGGAAAACCACAACCTCCCCAGATTTTTCTCTAAGTCAATGAAACACCGAGTTTATTTCTGATGTGGTGGAATTTATGGGGGTGCCCAACAACAGGAGTGAGTCGGGCAGAGCACGTGGGCTGCCGACGCCCGCACATGTAATCAGCAGACAATCAAATGGTAGAATAGCAGAGTAAAAACGCCCTCGTTACATTCTGACAGGGTCTATTCTGGCCTTTCCAAGAAAGGAGTATCCATTTTTCAATGCAGCCATTCAGGAAACACTGGGCAAGTTGGTGACAGTAGGAAACAGCGTGGACAGCCATTTAGACATTTGGAGGAAGATGTCACCCAAGATAAAAATGATGAGAAAAACTCAGCAGAAAGTCAAAAACAGCAGAGGACCCATTTTTAGTAATGAGTTTCCGTTTCATTAAAACAAGTGCAGTTTGCCAAGCGTTTTCTAGCTACAGCAATGGTAAAAGAAAAAAAAAATCAGCTGAAGAAAACAGACATGGGTAGAAAAGGGAACCTCCTAACAGCAAATTTGCGAACCCCAGAATGGTTTGCTTAGGAATATTCTGGATCTCTTTCCTTCGCTAAAGGTTTTTTAAGTTAGAGGAGGTATTCCTTGTTTAAAATGGCTGAGGGGAACAGACGAGCCTCCCAAACCCCCACATCAACGAGCAGAATTTCGGTTTCATACCCAGTTTGTTTCCGACCACGAATGTTGCCTGTTCTCTGTACACAAAGCGTCACACCAGGGAACCAAAGCCCAGGAGGCTATGCTTCCAAGCCCCCAGTACAGCAGTTTTCCACTGGAGAGTCCCACCCTCTGCCTCCCATTTCCCACTGCACACACAGCCTCAGAAAAGCTCCCTGAGGATGAATAAATCCCGCCATGTTTGCAACTGCCTCAAACAGAGCAGGGCACAGGCCCAGGAGCCAGAAACCCACCTTGCTGAAAGCAAGGACAACACAAGGCCACAGAAAGTAGCATCTGAGTGTTTACTCCAGGCAGCAATGACAGTGACTGTGTCTGGACACCAAACTTCCATTTTACCAGCTGGCAAACCACGTGCGCTCTTCCTTCACCTGACACAAAATGGACAGCGGGACGTATATTCCACCACAATCACGTCTCGCTAGAAAGGCAGACCGTGTCTCCAAAAAGGCAGGGTTTCTGCCTGGGGAAGATTCATTCAGTTACATCATTTCCCTTCCCCAGGGCTCTTCACGACGGCCTTTACAGAAGGCCGATTGCACCGCAGATGCCTGCTGTTTGGGAAGTAAGTTACACCTCCTGGCCATGGGTCATCTTTGCCAGGTTGGAATCCCACGCATCCACGCAGAGTGGCACAGGCTGTGCATCTCCTCCCTGATCTGCCTGCCCACGAGGAGTGAGAAGGGGGATGGCCTGTTCACCCCGAGTGCCAAAACCAAGCCTCATTCTACACAGGCTGGCCTGCCTCGAGCGTGCCTTCTCTTCCAATAGACTCTGGAGCCATTTTTCATTCATTCAAATGTCTGTGATTTAATCATCAAAAAATGGAGAGGGTTTACCATGCATGGGACAGAACACTAGGCTGAGCCAACCAGCCGGTGCCCAGGAAGCTGCACAAAGTCACCCTCCCCAAAGTCTTGACTTTCATTCCTTATGTGCCAAGCGTCCTTCCTGGGTTCCAGGTCCTTCTGGAGCCAGAGGATTTGACGATGGCTTTAGAACTTCCCTTGGCTTGACCAGAACTGTTAACGGTCTTCTCTTGGGAGTTGATGTCCCTCACGGGACACACTGGGACGCGTTAGTTTTGAGATCCTAGAGAAAAATCTTTATGGGTAGAAAATGGCATGTGTAGATATCAACTGGAGACATATCTGCTTCAGATGTAGAAAACCGATTAAGAAAAAGCTTCTTGAGTCCGCAGCTCTAGGAGAGAGAGAGCACGGCTGTGATTTCAAAGAGCAGCTCAGGGTCACCATTCCTTAGCCAGCGGCTCCAAACTGATTCAAAATCTTTCTTTGTAAGTTTTCACTCATGGGACTCTACGAACTCTAATTATAAGTCCAATTAAAGTCTTTTGATTTCTGGTGAATAATATTGGATTCTCCTTAACATATCATTCTTTCTAAAGGTCTCTGAAAGGAATAGCAGAGAGAAAATAGCCACAAAATAAAATATAAATAAGGACCAAGAACATCCTTTGGCAGGAAAGACCATTTCAGTTAAAATGTCAGGAATGAAATCTTTGCTTAGAATATGTCAAATGAATTTTTTACACACACAATTTCACTAACACAATCTGTAGACAGGATCTTGCATCAGCCAACAACCACGTTCAGCTTTAGTCTTGTTTCTTCCCTACAAGTCCCAAAAGAAAACACTCGTAACCCCCAGGTGAAAGGTGAGTCTGGGACTCGCTGCCCCACACCCTTTTTCCCACTCTGTCTCACTCATTTCCGTTTGTTTCCTTCTTTTAACTTCTGTGGACACTGGGCTCGCCGGCCTGACCTGCGGTTTTCACTTTTCCGGCAGAGACTGTGCCAAGCAGGGGTGTTCTCCATCCATCTCCCCGTCTCTAACCACAGTTCCAAATCCCCAGGGTCGGGCAGCTGCAGTGAGTGGGGAGCTACTCACCTTCCAGGTCATCCTGATAAATGACAATCTCCTTCTCTCCCTCCAAATGAACGGCTGCGGAAAGAAAGGTTGTCACTTGATTTGATATGCAAAGGTTTCCCAAAAATCCCCCATTTTCCCTAATTCAGTGCCAGCTGCGCGTCACCTCTGCATGGGGCCATCGTAGCTGATTCTAGAATTAGTTAGCACTTCTCAGCTCTTCGTGGTGGATGCAAAGCACCACATGGGTGAGAAAAATAGATAGCGTGGCTCACTTGAAACCATAACAAAGGACCAATCCCATTAAGTAATCTGTGTCACGCAAAATTTAAACAGAAACAGGACGGCCTTCTAAGTGTCATTATGTGCTGAAATTATATCACTCATGGAATATAAAGGTCTAATTATGAGCCAATTTAACTGGGATTCCAGCAAAGAGCTTTCTGGAAGTGAGGCACATTCATTTTAGAGTGTAAATGTCAGCCTGGCTGTCCCCATTCCTAGGGCGACGCTGGCAGAGACATCGGAGAACGGTGACACAGCCCGTGCCACGCTCTGCACACAGGGTGTGCTTACAGCTCACATCGAGTTGGGAGGGAAAGAGAGAACAAATCACACACAAACAGCCGAAGGTTCCCGGGCACCGTGAAAACCTAGGCGTGAGCGGCCTACCTTGTAACCTTCTGAGGTCCATGGGGTCGAGCGCGGCCACCGCATCCGAGACCCTGGAGGGTCGGCTGATGCCTGCACTGTTCACTGCTCTCACTCGGAATACGTAAGACCTTCCTTCAAAAAGCCCCGTGACTGGGTATTTGCAGATTTTCACCGGCGCGTCATTGCACTGAACCCAATTATTCGTTCCTACTTCACATCTTCAAGTTAAAAAATTAAAAAAAAAAACAGAATAGCAAATGTGGCAAACTACTAAATATATATGGGTATATACATATATACATGCACCAATTATAACAGGAAAATATCTCACGCCGGTAAAATCCGTGCTGCTAAAATATTGACTTGTATAGATAAGCTTTAAAAGACAGAGCTATTTAGAAAATGCGATACATATATTATACGTAGTATCTATTATATATGTAATATGTACCCATGAATCTTAATAATTTATAGCTGAAGACCAGTTCCCATCATCAAACACATTTAGGCAAAAATGTCCTCAAAGTTATTTTCGCCGTGTCCTGAACAGTCCCTTCTCCAACTTATTCCACATAGTCACAGCACCCCCGAGCTGCAGCTTGGTCTGTCTGAGGCCCAGGCTAGGGAAACAGGCTCAGCCCCCTCTGCCTCCAGCTCCCGTCCCTCTCTGTGGGGCCAAGGGCATGCGCTCCCCAGGAAAGCTGGCTTACAGTCTCCTGGAATGAAGTTAGGACATTCTAGAATGGTTCTCATGTGGAATTTGGAAGCCTTTTGAAAATATTAATTCCTGGCCAGAAACCTAAAAAAGCTTAACCTCCATTTTTCACAGGTTGAAAAATGTAAAAACAAAACCTTCTTGGGAAGCCCAGGTGGGCGGATTACCTGGGGTCAGGTGTTCAAGACCAGCCTGGCCAACATGGCAAAACCCTGTCTCTACTAAAAACACAAAAAGTAGCCAGACGTGGTGGCGCGTGCCTGTAGTCCCAGCTACTCAGAGGCTGAGGCAGGAGAATCGCTTGAACCCAGGAGGTGGAGGTTGCAGTGAGCCGAGATTGCTCCATCAATCTGGAGCAATCTGACTGAAGTTGTCACACTTCAGTCAGGGTGACAAGAGCGGAACTCTGTCTCAAAAAAAAAAATAATAATAATAATCTTCATGTTAAATCCCCAGAAAAGAGCCAGTTCAGAAAAGCAGCCTTCTGGAGGCAATACTTCAACCCCAGAGTGGTGTCTTCACCTGGGGAAAAAAACCACTTTCCCCCTAAGCATCCAGCATTGTTAGTGAAAGCTCGCTGATCCAGCTGCCCTGGCCTGTTTCAGCCAGAGAATGACAAGTTTGAAATCAAGTCTGGCAGGAAAACCGTCAACTTCAGGCCACAGCTGGCAAGTTGCAAGCCTGAAGGAAGGGCAGGGGAGGAGCTGCACCCCCCACTTCCAAAAGGTTCTGTCGCTTTGATTTTCTCGACTGCTCTTTCTGTAACGAGAGGAGGCGCGTGGATTGTTAACTGAGATGGCGCAGGAAATGGTTTTTGTCTACATGGCCGGAAAACGAATCAGCTGTCCCAGGAGAAGAGGACCACTTTGAGGCTTTTTCTTGTTCTTGTTGTTACTGCTGCTTGATTCAAGGTGAGCCCTGGACCGCTCTCCCTACTATTCCCAAATATTACTTTGATGGCGAACATTTCAGCTTCACTGGAAAAGAGAATTTCGTCAGTGTAAGTTTGAAAAAAAAAAAAAGCCGATTTCCTTTTTCACACAAGGAAAGATTTCCCAGTACACCGTCCGTGGTAAGATTTCCCAGTACACTGTCCGCGGTAAGATTTCCCAGTACACCGTCCGTGGTAAGGTTTCCCAGTACACCGTCCATGGGGTTTCCCAGTACACCGTTTGTGGTAAGATTTCCCAGTACACCATCCGTGGTAAGGTTTCCCAGTACACCGTCCATGGTAAGATTTCCCAGTACACCATCCGTGGTAAGGTTTCCCAGTACACCGTCCATGGTAAGATTTCCCAGTACACCGTCTGTGGTAATGTTTCCCACTACACCGTCCGTGGTAAGGTTTGCCAGTACACCGTCTGTGGTAATGTTTCCCAGTACACCGTCCATGGGGTTTCCCAGTACACCGTCCATGGGGTTTCCCAGTACACCGTCCATGGGGTTTCCCAGTACACCGTCCACGGTAAGTTTCCCCAGTACACCGTCCACGGTAAGTTTCCCCAGTACATCGTCCACGGTAAGTTTCCCTAGTACACCGTCCACGGTAAGGTTTCCCAGTACACCATCCACGGTAGGAGTCAATGCAGCAACGTTTTCATTACCAGAAGGCCAGGCACTCACCGGTCCACAAAATAGCCCACAACGGGGCTCTCAGTGGTGGTGTTGGGCGGCTTCCAGGTCACAATGACGTAGTCTCGGTTGGCGTCGTGGCACTGCAAGTCCATGGGTGCGCCGGGGGCCCCTGTGACCAGCGGGTCAGCATCTTGGGGCAAGGAGAGAAAAGGCACATGCACGTCATTTAAAGGCTGGGGTCACTGCAAAGCCTGTTCACAGCTCCTCCAAGCTCCAATTCTATCCACTTGATTTCATGCACTGTTTAATCCTCATGTTCAAATTACTAGAATATTCCTTACTCTGGTGGATTGGTGACAAGAAATATAATAGTATTATGAATTAAAAAGCTTCAAAACCTAGAATCCTTGACAAAACACTCAAATCTAAAATTTCCCATCATTAGATCCCAAATCAAAGGTTATCTTCTCCTGGTCGTGTTACATTGTATAGCACGAGCGGACGAAACAGTAACAATCCAGCATTTCTAACACCTGAGAAATATCACCTGAGACACTCTTCTATTTCAAAATCCTTAGACAATCGGGTGACTTCCTCTTTTTGCCAATTTGGAGCAAATGTTCGGGACAATGTTGTATCATTCATTTCTCAGTCTATTGACCATATGGTAATAGTTTTTGTTTCTAAACTTTAATAACGGCTGCATGAAAACCAACAGAGCAACTGAGAAAGTTAATGCACTGAATGTTTACTTTATCTAAAATGTGTATTTGGTCACCATGGCTGTCCTGTGATATATTCCTGGCAGTGTAAGCACTGCCCCGTTTCCTGCTCATGGATCCTCAGCGTATTCACAGCTAAGGATTTCTCAACATTGAGGCAAATAGTTCCCTGTCACATACAAATCCCTCAGAAAGCGATGAAAACGGTTAAACTCTCCACCCTCACTGTATTTTCTTCCTGTTGGTGGTGCTGAGTGAGCAAGATGATTTGAGCCACGTTGTATTCACTGCCTTTTCATGGGACAGAGCGTCACAGCGGCAGGCACACGCAGAGGATGGAAGGGACAGTTAGCGCCCACCTAGTAACAGCAGTGGAACTTGGTGGAAGTGTCTGACCTCACAGACTTGCAAGCTTATGCTATGTTGTGGGAAATGAGGAAGGTGAGACGCGTTTGGGTGACATGTGTTCTATTTCTTCTCAGTGAAATATTCCTTAACAATACAGTCCTTCTTTTAAGCTCTGATCTAGCGAAAGCAATGGAAAAAATAATCACGATGAGGTACAGATGCTTCCTGCACCCCCGAAGCTGGAAGGTGGGAAGGTAAGAACCCAGCAGCAGGTAAGGATGGTCAGGATGATCAGCATGGAGCTGGGAGCACGGGAGCACGGGAGCCCGAAGAGCAGCAGCAGCCATGTAGCGCAGGGGCACTGTGACGCCTTCCTCGTAGGTCAGCTGTGTCTCAGCAAGGAGGCTGCCCCTAAACCCAAAGGCTCCTGAGGTACAGCCCAGGCAGAAGTGGGATGGGAGTGGAATAGATACTGATGAAAGCATAGGTAAGGCTGGGTGTGGTGGCTCACACCTGTAATCCCAGCACTTGGGAGACCAAATCACTTACGGTCAAGAGTTCAAGACCAGCCCGGCCAAGAAGGTGAAATCCTGTCTACACTAAAAATATAAAAATTAGCCGTGCATGGTGGTACACACCTATAGTCCAAGCTACCTGATGCAGGAGAATCACTTGAACCCAGGAAGTGGAGGGTCATGACCGAGATCAGGCCACTGCACGTCAGCCTGGGCAACAGAGTGACATTCAGTCTCAAAAACACACAAGAAAACAAAAGGTAGGTGGCCTCTTCTGCTTAGTCACATGATGCCAAAAATGCTACAACTTTACAGCAGGAACTCACGCTCCAGGCCCCAGCCAAGTTCAAATCCCAGCTTCTCCACCCTAGAGACATTCCTCATGCCTCCGAGGCCCCACAGATTCATTTGGAAAATGGAGAACAGTGCTTCCTTTTGCTATCATTGTAAGAATCCTACGTTACATATACACGGATGTTTACGTAATAAACACGCATACACGTGCATACCTATAGGCTATATACAACAGACATTTATATATATATCTCACAAATTTTGTCTTTCTTTTCCTAAAATCAAATTAGTGAAGACTTCAAGGTGAGTCTGCTGTGAGGACGAAATGCACCAGGACCCAGCACACTGCCTGACATGACGTGCCCGGGGGCGGGTGGCTGTCTTGGCCACAAATGCCTTAGCACGAGTTTCACTGGAGTGGGTGGTGGAGGTCATGGCACTGCCTGTCGTCATCATGTCTGTTCCTCCAAAGCCAAAGTCCAGAGGGAATGAGTCGCCAGTGGGAAACTAAGGAAGCTCTTCCTGGGACCCAACACCGTGGCCCTCTTCATCCTTGGCCTAAATTCCCTGAGAATGAGTGAATCTGGTGCCCTCACTCTTAGGAATCACTTTTCAGATGCTGGCAAGTATACGAACAATCAAACAATGACGATTCTGATCTATTCCGGATTGCGTCCCAATTCTTCTGTCTGCGTCTGTGCACCGAGGGAGAGTTGGCACCACCAAGGTCTCCAAGGAGCAAAGTGGTCTCCACCCTCCTGACTCCTTTCCCAGCGCCTCCCTCCTCCCGGGGCCGCCTGCCCTCCCCGGGCACACCCGTGGTCTGCACCCTGACACCCCTGCTGCCGCACCTCTGACAAACAGGAAGGCGCTGTGGTCGCTGACGCCGCCCCGGGACACGATGCGCAGGGTGTACAGGCCCTCGTCGTCCTTGTGCACGTGGCTGAAGGACAGCGAGGCCTGGCCTTCTCCAAAGAACATCTTCGTCCACTTGGACTCCTTCACCAGCACGTCTGAAAGAGCGATAACATGGAGGTTTGCATCCGAAATCACCCCAGCAGGCAAAGAAGGCCTGGAGGACACCAGAGCCATCTCATGGCGGGACAGGACAGAGGAGCCAGACGCCACGAAAGCCACAGAGCCCCGACCTGACCTGGTAAAATCCCAACTGCACAGAAGCACAGGTGTGAATGGAGCAGACTCAGCCCTGAACACCGGCTGCCACTTGAGCAGGTAAAGATGGGACATGCTGCAAGCGGCCGCCAACTTTGTCCTCAGGTGGGCTGGGTTCACCTGGGGGCTCGCTGCTTCTCTGCTGGGCGGCCGCTGCCCCACCCGGCTTCCTCCTGCCCATGATGGGATCACAGGGGTATGCCCAACTAACGGGGCTCACACCTCCAAAGAACCCAGCACAGACCCTCCGCGCCATCAGATGCTGACACGAAATGCCTGGCAGGAAGAGGAGGAGTACTGAGGTGGCGTTTCTGTGTGGAGACAGCACGGAAGCTCCACCAGCCCCTTCCACGCGGTAACGGTGACAGCATGTAAGCTCCACCAGCCCCTTCCACGCGGTAACTGAGACAGCACGCAAGCTCCACCAGCCCCTTCCATGCGGTAACTGAGACAGCACGCAAGCTCCACCAGCCCCTTCCACGCGGTAACGGAGACAGCACGTAAGCTCCACCAGCCCCTTCCACGCGGTAACAGAGACAGCACGCAAGCTCCACCAGCCCCTACCACGCGGTAACGGAGACAGCACGGAAGCTCCAACCAGCCCCTTCCACGCGGTAACTGAGACAGCACGGAAGCTCCACCAGCCCCTTCCACGTGGTAACGGAGACAGCACGTAAGCTCCACCAGCCCCTTCCACGCGGTAACTGAGACAGCACGGAAGCTCCACCAGCCCCTTCCACGCGGTAACTGAGACAGCACGCAAGCTCCAACCAGCCCCTTCCACGCGGTAACGGAGACAGCACGGAAGCTCCACCAGCCCCTTCCACGCGGTAACTGAGACAGCACGCAAGCTCCAACCAGCCCCTTCCACGCGGTAACTGAGACAGCACGGAAGCTCCACAAGCCCCTTCCACGCGGTAACTGAGACAGCACGGAAGCTCCACCAGCCCCTTCCACGCGGTAACTGAGACAGCACGCAAGCTCCAACCAGCCCCTTCCACGCGGTAACTGAGACAGCACGGAAGCTCCACCAGCCCCTTCCACGTGGTAACAGAGACAGCACGCAAGCTCCAACCAGCCCCTTCCACGCGGTAACGGAGACAGCACGTAAGCTCCACCAGCCCCTTCCACGTGGTAACTGAGACAGCACGGAAGCTCCAACCAGCCCCTTCCACGCGGTAACGAAGACAGCACGCAAGCTCCAACCAGCCCCTTCCACGCGGTAACTGAGACAGCACGGAAGCTCCTCCAGCCCCTTCCACGCGGTAACGGAGACAGCACGGAAGCTCCACCAGCCCCTTCCACGCAGTAACAGAGACAGCACGCAGGCTCCGCCAGCCCCTTCCACGCGGTAACGGAGACAGCACGCAGGCTCTACCAGCCCCTTCCACGCAGTAATGGAGACAGCACGGAAGCTCCACCAGCCCCTTCCACGCGGTAACGGAGACAGCACGGAAGCTCCACCAGCCCCTTCCACGCGGTAACAGAGACAGCACGCAAGCTCCAACCAGCCCCTTCCACGCGGTAACTGAGACAGCACGGAAGCTCCACCAGCCCCTTCCACGGGGTAACTGAGACAGCACGCAGGCTCCAACCAGCCCCTTCCACGCGGTAACTGAGACAGCACGCAGGCTCCAACCAGCCCCTTCCACGCGGTAACTGAGACAGCACGCAGGCTCCAACCAGCCCCTTCCACGCGGTAACGGAGACAGCACGGAAGCTCCAACCAGCCCTTCCACGCGGTAACTGAGACAGCACGCAGGCTCCAACCAGCCCCTTCCACACGGTAACTGAGACAGCACGGAAGCTCCACCAGCCCCTTCCACGCGGTAACTGAGACAGCACGTAAGCTCCTCCAGCCCCTTCCACGCGGTAACAGAGACAGCACGCAAGCTCCAACCAGCCCCTTCCACGCGGTAACTGAGACAGCACGGAAGCTCCACCAGCCCCTTCCACGCGGTAACTGAGACAGCACGCAGGCTCCAACCAGCCCCTTCCACGCGGTAACTGAGACAGCACGCAAGCTCCACCAGCCCCTTCCACGCGGTAACAGAGACAGCACGCAAGCTCCAACCAGCCCCTTCCACGCGGCGGTAACTGAGACAGCACGGAAGCTCCACCAGCCCCTTCCACGCGGTAACGGAGACAGCACGGAAGCTCCAACCAGCCCCTTCCACGCGGTAACTGAGACAGCACGGAAGCTCCACCAGCCCCTTCCACGCGGTAACGGAGACAGCACGGAAGCTCCACCAGCCCCTTCCACGCGGTAACTGAGACAGCACGTAAGCTCCACCAGCCCCTTCCACGCGGTAACGGAGACAGCACGTAAGCTCCACCAGCCCCTTCCACGCGGTAACTGAGACAGCACGCAAGCTCCAACCAGCCCCTTCCACGCGGTAACTGAGACAGCACGGAAGCTCCAACCAGCCCCTTCCACGCGGCGGTAACTGAGACAGCACGGAAGCTCCACCAGCCCCTTCCACGCAGTAACTGAGACAGCACGCAAGCTCCACCAGCCCCTTCCACGCGGTAACAGAGACAGCACGCAAGCTCCAACCAGCCCCTTCCACGCGGCGGTAACTGAGACAGCACGGAAGCTCCACCAGCCCCTACCACGCGGTAACGGAGACAGCACGGAAGCTCCAACCAGCCCCTTCCACGCGGTAACTGAGACAGCACGGAAGCTCCACCAGCCCCTTCCACGCGGTAACGGAGACAGCACGGAAGCTCCACCAGCCCCTTCCACGCAGTAACTGAGACAGCACGCAAGCTCCACCAGCCCCTTCCACGCGGTAACGGTGACAGCACGTAAGCTCCACCAGCCCCTACCACGCGGTAACTGAGACAGCACGGAAGCTCCACCAGCCCCTTCCACGCAGTAACGGAGACAGCACACAGGCTCCACCAGCCCCTTCCACGCGGTAACGGTGACAGCACGTAAGCTCCACCAGCCCCTACCACGCGGTAACTGAGACAGCACGGAAGCTCCACCAGCCCCTTCCACGCGGTAACTGAGACAGCACGGAAGCTCCACCAGCCCCTTCCACGCGGTAACTGAGACAGCACGCAAGCTCCAACCAGCCCCTTCCACGCGGTAACTGAGACAGCACGGAAGCTCCAACCAGCCCCTTCCACGCGGCGGTAACTGAGACAGCACGGAAGCTCCACCAGCCCCTTCCACGCAGTAACTGAGACAGCACGCAAGCTCCACCAGCCCCTTCCACGCGGTAACAGAGACAGCACGCAAGCTCCAACCAGCCCCTTCCACGCGGCGGTAACTGAGACAGCACGGAAGCTCCACCAGCCCCTACCACGCGGTAACGGAGACAGCACGGAAGCTCCAACCAGCCCCTTCCACGCGGTAACTGAGACAGCACGGAAGCTCCACCAGCCCCTTCCACGCGGTAACGGAGACAGCACGGAAGCTCCACCAGCCCCTTCCACGCGGTAACTGAGACAGCACGGAAGCTCCACCAGCCCCTTCCACGGGGTAACGGAGACAGCACGGAAGCTCCAACCAGCCCCTTCCACGCGGTAACTGAGACAGCACGCAGGCTCCAACCAGCCCCTTCCACGCGGTAACCTGAGACAGCACGCAGGCTCCAACCAGCCCCTTCCACGCGGTAACTGAGACAGCACGCAGGCTCCAACCAGCCCCTTCCACGCGGTAACGGAGACAGCATGGAAGCTCCAACCAGCCCTTCCACGCGGTAACTGAGACAGCACGCAGGCTCCAACCAGCCCCTTCCACACGGTAACTGAGACAGCACGGAAGCTCCACTAGTCCCTTCCACGCGGTAACTGAGACAGCACGTAAGCTCCTCCAGCCCCTTCCACGCGGTAACAGAGACAGCACGCAAGCTCCAACCAGCCCCTTCCACGCGGTAACTGAGACAGCACGGAAGCTCCACCAGCCCCTTCCACGCGGTAACTGAGACAGCACGCAGGCTCCAACCAGCCCCTTCCACGCGGTAACTGAGACAGTACGCAAGCTCCACCAGCCCCTTCCACGCGGTAACAGAGACAGCACGCAAGCTCCAACCAGCCCCTTCCCCGCGGCGGTAACTGAGACAGCACGGAAGCTCCACCAGCCCCTTCCACGCGGTAACGGAGACAGCACGGAAGCTCCAACCAGCCCCTTCCACGCGGTAACTGAGACAGCACGGAAGCTCCACCAGCCCCTTCCACGCGGTAACGGAGACAGCACGGAAGCTCCACCAGCCCCTTCCACGCGGTAACTGAGACAGCACGTAAGCTCCACCAGCCCCTTCCACGCGGTAACGGAGACAGCACGTAAGCTCCACCAGCCCCTTCCACGCGGTAACTGAGACAGCACGCAAGCTCCAACCAGCCCCTTCCACGCGGTAACTGAGACAGCACGGAAGCTCCAACCAGCCCCTTCCACGCGGCGGTAACTGAGACAGCACGGAAGCTCCACCAGCCCCTTCCACGCAGTAACTGAGACAGCACGCAAGCTCCACCAGCCCCTTCCACGCGGTAACAGAGACAGCACGCAAGCTCCAACCAGCCCCTTCCACGCGGCGGTAACTGAGACAGCACGGAAGCTCCACCAGCCCCTACCACGCGGTAACGGAGACAGCACGCAGGCTCCAACCAGCCCCTTCCACGCGGTAACTGAGACAGCACGGAAGCTCCACCAGCCCCTTCCACGCGGTAACGGAGACAGCACGGAAGCTCCACCAGCCCCTTCCACGCAGTAACTGAGACAGCACGCAAGCTCCACCAGCCCCTTCCACGCGGTAACGGTGACAGCACGTAAGCTCCACCAGCCCCTACCACGCGGTAACTGAGACAGCACGGAAGCTCCACCAGCCCCTTCCACGCGGTAACTGAGACAGCACGGAAGCTCCACCAGCCCCTTCCACGTGGTAACGGAGACAGCACGGAAGCTCCAACCAGCCCCTTCCACGCGGTAACTGAGACAGCACGCAGGCTCCAACCAGCCCCTTCCACGCGGTAACTGAGACAGCACGCAGGCTCCACCAGCCCTTCCACGCGGTAACTGAGACAGCACAGAAGCTCCACCAGCCCCTTCCACGCGGTAACTGAGACAGCACGCAGGCTCCAACCAGCCCCTTCCACGCGGTAACTGAGACAGCACGCAGGCTCCAACCAGCCCCTTCCACACGGTAACTGAGACAGCACGGAAGCTCCACCAGTCCCTTCCACGCGGTAACTGAGACAGCACGTAAGCTCCTCCAGCCCCTTCCACGCGGTAACAGAGACAGCACGCAAGCTCCAACCAGCCCCTTCCACGCGGTAACGGAGACAGCACGGAAGCTCCACCAGCCCCTTCCACGCGGTAACTGAGACAGCACGCAGGCTCCAACCAGCCCCTTCCACGCGGTAACTGAGACAGCACGCAGGCTCCAACCAGCCCCTTCCACGCGGTAACTGAGACAGCACGTAAGCTCCTCCAGCCCCTTCCACGCGGTAACAGAGACAGCATGCAAGCTCCAACCAGCCCCTTCCACGCAGTAACTGAGACAGCACGGAAGCTCCACCAGCCCCTTCCACGCGGTAACTGAGACAGCACGCAGGCTCCAACCAGCCCCTTCCACGCGGTAACTGAGACAGCACGCAGGCTCCAACCAGCCCCTTCCACGCGGTAACTGAGACAGCACGTAAGCTCCTCCAGCCCCTTCCACGTGGTAACAGAGACAGCACGCAAGCTCCAACCAGCCCCTTCCACGCGGTACTGAGACAGCACGGAAGCTCCACCAGCCCCTTCCACGCAGTAACGGAGACAGCACACAGGCTCCACCAGCCCCTTCCACGCGGTAACGGAGACAGCACGGAAGCTCCACCAGCCCCTTCCACACGGTAACGGAGACAGCACGCAAGCTCCACCAGCCCCTTCCACGCGATAACGGAGACAGCACGCAAGCTCCAACCAGCCCCTTCCACGCGGAAACGGAGACAGCATGCAGGCTCCACCAGCCACTTTCACACGGTAACTGAGACAGCACGCAAGCTCCACCAGCCCTTCCTCGCAGTAATGTGCATCAAATGTAATCTACATCACACCAGTTCATTCCTTCTGCCATTGTACAAGCAGTCAGTCCCTAAGTCACTGCTCTAGATTCAAGGTCTCCCACTCCAGGATTCTCCCGGATGAGGTTCAAGGTCAGTGGTGGGCAGCCACCATGGTCCGTCCCTCACTTGTCTGGAACTGACCCAGCCGTAGAGACAAAGGTCACAAAGACACCCACGTTGAAAGGACATTTCTACCCAAAAGCCTCCTGCTGTGCATCCGGGTCTGGGCCCTGTCCTACTCACCGTCACGGTACCACTCAGCACGGGGCTGCACTCGCTTCAGGTCAGGCGTCACCAGCATGGTGCACTTGAGAGTGACCGTCTCGCCTTCTCTCCTGAAGGTGACCCCAAACTTCTCCAAAAACTGGACGTCGAAGTGCGTGTAGGGAATGACCGACGACGGGGGCACTGCGCAGAAACAATGGAGACTCTCAGGGCGGAAGGGCAGGAGCATGTCTGACAGCACACTCAGGCTGCCACCACAGTAGGACATCTTTGTCACCACCACACAGCATGGAACACCCATGGCCATGTCCATGCTCCAGATGGAATGTCTGTGTCCCCCAGAATTCCAGTGTTGAATCCCTGACCCTCAATGGACAGTATGAGGAGGTGGGGCCTTTGGGAGGTGATGAGGGTGACATGAGGTCATGAGAGTGGGGACCCCAGGGCGGGGTGACGAGCGCCCTTGGAAAAGGAGGAAGAGGCCAGACCTTCCTCTCTTCCGTGTGAGGATGCCGTGAGCAGACGTCATCAGCAACCAGAAGGAGGCTCCTCACCAGAACCCATGCCTGCTGAGTCTCAGATTCTGCCTCCAGAACCGAGAGGGTCAATGCCTGCTGTCCTGTAAACCGCCCCTGCCGTGGTGTGCTGTTCCAGCAGCTGACGCTGAATCAAGCCACTGCCGAAGAATTAAATGTAAAAAGTCAATTTTACGGTGTCATTAGAGGCAGGGCTGAGAACCTGACTGTGTGTGAAGAGTGAAGGTTGAAACAAATCCTACCTCAGCCTCAAGCTGTGGCTTCTGGCAAGCCACATGGACTTTGAGACTATGGCTGCCTCATCTTCAAAACAACGGTGGTATTTTCATCTGTAGAGTTTCATTTAGAGGGCACCCCAAATGGACTAACTGGGTCCAGAGGTGTCAGCCTAGTTACATTTCAAAAATATGTATGGCAGGGGGAGAAGTACATACGTGTCAGGAAAAAAAAATCTATACTGAATTTTAAAACCAAAAGAACTGTATGATTTACAGATATATGCATGTAGGGGAGTTAAACCACAGCTGCAGGCTGGTACGGTGGCTCATGCCTGTAATCCCAGCACTTTGGGAGGCCAAGGCAGGAGGTTCACTTGATCCCAGGAGTTCAAGACCAACCTGGACAATACGGCAAAATCTCATCTCTACAAAATACAGAAAAAATGAGCCAGGTTTGGTGACACACACCCATAGTCCCAGCAACTTGTGAGGTGAATTGAAAAAATTCCTTGAGCCAGGGAGGTGGAGGCTGCAGTGAGCCGGGGAGGTGGAGGCTGCAGTGAGCCGGGGAGGGGGAGGCTGCTGTGAGCCAAGATCTCACCACTGCACTCCAGCCTGGGATACAGAGTGAGACCCTGCCTCAAAAACAAACAAAAAATTAAAAAGCCACTGCAAACATCAGGAGGGTGGTTTCCTCCCAAGGGTGTGGGAGATGGGCAGGACAGCACAGGCTGCTTAGAGTGGAGTGGCACAGAGTGGCATGCAGGGGCGGCACAGAGTGACATACAGGGTGGCACAGAGTGGCATGCAGGGCCGCACCGAGTGGCATGCAGGGGCGGCACAGAGTGACATACAGGGCGGCACCGAGTGGCTTGCAGGGGCGGCACAGAGTGGCATGCAGGGGCGGCACCGAGTGGCATGCAGGGGCAGCACAGAATGGCATGTAGGGGCGGCACAGAGTGGCATGCAGGGCGGCACAGAGTGGCATGCAGGGGCGGCACAGAGTGGCATGCAGGGGCAGCACAGAGTGACATACAGGGTAGCACAGAGTGGCTTGCAGGGGCGACACCGAGTGGCTTGCAGGGGCGGCACAGAGTGGCATGCAGGGGCAGCACCGAGTGGCATGCAGGGCGGCACAGAGTGACATACAGGGCGGCACAGAGTGGCTTGCAGGGGTGGCACCGAGTGGCTTGCAGGGGCGGCACCGAGTGGCATGCAGGGGCGGCACCGAGTGGCATGCAGGGGCGGCACAGAGTGGCCTGCAGGGCGGCACCGAGTGGCATGCAGGGGTGGCACAGAGTGGCTTGCAGGAGCGGCACCGAGTGACATACAGGGCGGCACCGAGTGGCATGCAGGGGCGGCACAGAGTGGCATGCAGGGGCGGCACCGAGTGGCATGCAGGGGCGGCACCGAATGGCATGTAGGGGCGGCACAGAGTGGCATGCAGGGGTGGCACCGAGTTACATACAGGGCGGCACCGAGTGGCATGCAGGGGCGGCACAGAGTGGCTTGCAGGGGCGGCACAGAGTGACATACAGGGTGGCACAGAGTGGCTTGCAGGGGCGGCACAGAGTGACATGCAGGGTGGCACAGAGTGGCATGCAGGGGCAGCAGAGTGACATACAGGGCGGCACAGAGTGGCTTGCAGGGGTGGCACCGAGTGGCATGCAGGGGTGGCACCGAGTGGCATGCAGGGGGGACACAGAGTGGCATGCAGGGGCGGCGCCGAGTGGCATGCAGGGGCGGCACAGAGTGGCTTGCAGGAGCGGCACCGAGTGACATACAGGGCGGCACCGAGTGGCATGCAGGGGCGGCACAGAGTGGCTTGCAGGGGCGGCACAGAGTGACATACAGGGTGGCACAGAGTGGCTTGCAGGGGCGGCACAGAGTGACATGCAGGGGCGGCACAGAGTGGCTTGCAGGGGCGGCACAGAGTGGCATGCAGGGGCGGCACAGAGTGGCATGCAGGGGCGGCACAGAGTGCTTTCATCATCTCCGTGATCGCTTCCGTTCTTGGAAAATACCACAGCTACCCTGAACTGTACACTGTAAAATTGTTAACTTTGTGTTATGTAAATCTGACTGCACTGAAAAACAACTGAAGCAAAATAGCAAGATATTTCCCTCTGATCAACTCGGGTGGTGAACATATGAGTATTCCTACATGGTGATCTATGCTGTAACTGCGCCATGTTCTTGTTTAGGAGGATAACATTTGAATAGACAGAACAGGCCTGGGGATGGGACCAGGTGACCACCAGGACCTGCCCAGCTCATCAGTGCCTGGGACAGCTCTCCACATGGACTCCACGCTGTCCCAAGGCCTGGATCTACACACGGACGCCAGATCTCCCGGCCTCCCCGGGCTCACCTTGTCCTGGTCCCTACCTGCCCTTCGGTGGTCTTGGAAGCTCGCTGAGTGTTGGACACAGCACAGCAATAAAATTCCCACAGAAATAGCAGACAGAGGCCACGCACAGAGAGAAGGCTCCTCCCTCCATCCTCACTCTGGTCAACTCTCCACTCCCAGCACGTGGCCTGGAGCATCTAAGCCTCACATTACAGTAAAATCAGTGCTTCCATCAGAATGTACAGTTCCTCCCCTGGGAAGTTTCAGGCCAAGCTAAGTCTCACTCCCAAGCCATAAACAAGCTGCAATGAAAGTGCATCCATCATGCCCCAGTCCTCAAGAGGCCCTCATGGGGACCTCCTCGCCTCACCTGACATCGGTCACCCAGCACGTGTGACTGCTAGGGTGAAGCCAGCCCGGGCCAGAGAGGGCTTGGCCCCCTTTCAGGGCCGTAGCAGTTCCCAGGCCTGGGGAGGTTTCTGGACCAAAGCCTGCTGCCACTGCCCTCATTTTGACCTGAAGTCATTTGTTAAAAGGACCAAGAGACTTTTGGAGGAAAAAAAGTATCCTGGCAGGGCACAGTGGCTCACGCCTGTAATCCCAGTACTTTGGGAGGCCGAGGTGTGTAGCTCACCTGCGGTCAGGAGTTGGAGAGACGCCTGACCAACATGGAGAAACCCCTATCTCTATTAAAAATACAAAAATTAGCCAGGCGTGGTGGTGCATGCCTGTAATCCCAGCTATTCAGCAGGCTGAGGCAGGCAAATCGCTTGAACCTGGGAGGCAGAGTTCGCGGTGAGCCGAGATCGTGCCATTGCACTCCAGCTGGGAAACAAGAACAAAACTCCCTTTCAAAAAAAAAAAAAAGTATCCTTAAACACGAAACACAGCAGCATGACACCTTCAGGTCAGAATTCTGGATGTCTCTTTTTTTTCCAATTCAAAACTGTAAAGTCCCTCCAAGTGATGTTTTCACGGGTCTAAAAATACCGCCTAGCCACAGAGTTACATGGGAACACGGTGTCGGCACGCTAACACCGGCCAGGAGAAACTTGGAAGCGTTTTCTGAAATACGATTTTTGTAAATACATTTGGCCTTTAGGAAACCTCTTTTTCAAATTGCACACTGTGTCACTAAACATTTCACCGCACAGAAAGGAAACCAAAACCACTTACATCCAATGGGGAGTCCCACCGAATGGAGCAGCTCCTCGTCTCCCCGGAACCCTGCAAGACAGCAGAGTGAGTGCAGCAAAGAGAGAAAAGGGGGTGGAGGGCGCCCCGCGAGAGCCCGCCGGCACTCACTTCTCACCACCACGGCCGCGTTGGTGGACACCTGACCGTGGGCGTTGGTCGTCCACTGCCGAGTAGGTCGCGGTATCATCGAAGTCTGCCCTTTGAGACAAAAACACAAGAGAGAGTCTGCAGGACTGTTCTGTGAAAGTCATTGACCCGAATTGCGCAAAAACATTCCTCGAAAGCAAATCATGTGGCGTGGGTCATTTGTTTCCCGAGTGATCTGTGCGAGAACAATGCCAGCTCTGTCCTTGGAAAGGCGGGGTGGCACTCGGTATTAATTATAGACACGACGAAGGCCTGATCCCAGACGAGGGCGCAGCTTTGACTTAAGAATAAAAAGGCACTGGCGCCTCTGAAAATCCTTGTTCATTCTCGAGGAGAAGCCTCAATTCCACTCAGTCTCATTTTTCCACCTCTGTAGAATGCGGGTTTCATCTTGTCCACAAACAGCCTCCCACGACCTCAAGTTCCAACAGAACCACTCACGACGGGATGATACAGAGCCTGCCTGGGAGAGCCGCGGACCTGCTCCGTGTAGGAGCAAGAATGCTGCCACAGAAGAAGGCAGAGCCTGCTTCAGGGAGGCCCTGAACCATGGCGGGGAGTCCACCCCACAAGGGAGTTGTTCCCATGCAGGGAGTCCAGTTCTAGGGTAGTCCCAGGGCTTCAGCTTTGCTCCACTCTTCCACGTGATCCTTGTGCACACAGGCATTGAAGAGTGGCACCTGAAATGCTCTCCACCTGGTGTGCACAGGCATTGAGGGGCTGCACCTGGATGCTCTCTGCCTGTGTGCACAGGCACTGAGGGGCTGCACCTGGATGCTCTCCGCCTGGTGTGCACAGGCATTGAGGGGCTGCACCTGGATGCTCTCTGCCTGGTGTGCACAGGCACTGAGGGGCTGCACCTGGATGCTCTCTGCCTGGTGGGCACAGGCATTGAGGGGCTGCACCTGGATGCTCTCTGCCTGGTGTGCACAGGCATTGAGGGGCTGCACCTGGATGCTCTCTGCCTGGTGGGTACAGGCATTGAGGGGCTGCACCTGGATGCTCTTCATCCTTTACTGCCCCTGAGATAAGAATCCCAGAATGAAGCCGCTGAGAACCCATCAAAGCCCTCAACACAGCTTGTGCCTGGCACACACAGAGGGTTCCAAGGCGCAAATAGAGACTGACTGACTTCTAAGTGACAATCGCCCTTTTCCAAAAGCAGATTCTACAGCCTCACCCAGCTCCCAGTAGGATTCCCATGCTAACAAGAGGCACGCCCAGAATCCCAAAGTAATACGATCCCCAGACACGAATCACCACTTAAGGGTGTATTGAAATGTCTGAATTGGACCCCACCTGAGACGCTGATGTGGTTTATCTCAGGAAAAAAAGCACGACTTAGGACTAGCCAAAGACCCCAGGCTTGCAAACCCAAGTCCCCTATGGGAAGCGTCTTCTGATTCCCCACACCCATGGTGCTAAACCTAAAGCTGCTTTTCTTGGCTGTGAACCGTCTCCCCACCAGCTTCCCCAGGAAACGGAGGCAAGAGAGGGTACGGAAGAGACACTAAGATCAGCTGAGCTTTACTCAACACCGAGCCCTCTGCAGGTCCGTGCACATCAGCTGTTCCACGTTCATCCTCAAGTAGCCTGGAAAATAGACTCAATTATCCCACTAGGATGGTGAGAAGTCAGCACCGTAAGGAGCTAGGTATCAGGGTCCACGTGACTCCAGAACTGCATTCTTTCTGGTAGCTTCTCTCCCAGCCATGGACACCTGAGTAGAATCTTAATCTACGAAAAGAAACAACACAAGTCCCCACTTTTGAGAAAAACAAGAGTTACTCAAGTCTTACTTTTCCAAGGCATTAAGAAGCCTATGCCTCCAGAGACGAAATTCATTCCTGGGAAGCTATTAGTCATTTTATTTTCTTGTTCCACCAGGAGCTGAAAATATTTCTTAGACCAAAAATTTCCATTTCTCCAACAAAAGGGAAAGAATGTGTCACAGACCTGTGCTCTCTACCAAGAACTGCTTCCCCTCCTCCTGAACTTCAATCCAGTGAGTATGTCACAGAAAGCCACCTGGCCTCCCTAACTGCCACTGCTCAAGGGACAGATCACACAAGCAGAGCACAGGCCAGGTCGATGTACGAACTAAGAACATTATCTTCTAGTTCACCTGGGAGGAAGACAAGCCAACTACAAAGCCCATCAATTCTAGCCTGAACTCATTAGAGGCTACTCTGCTATACAATTTCCGATTCACCACAGGTACAGCCGTGTCCCCGGGGACAAAGTCACAGTGTGTGTAAAACACAGAAAAATCCCTAAGTCGAGGCTTTCTCCCGTGCCCAGCGTTAACAACCTGTGCTGATGCACCGTATGACTCCCGCATACACACGCCCGTAGGGAGTGCAATGTGCCGGCGGCTCCGGAACGCGCCTGGGACTGGGGCCTGGGTGGAAGGAGAAGCTGCTTCTCCGCGGGACCCTTGGGCACTGCTTGCATTTTGCTTCTTTACTTTGTGATTGGGTGCCTTCTTCTAAATGATAAAACCACTATGTCTTCATAAATGCATTCTCCAAACCCAGAGAGATTCTTCTTCTGGGATTCGCCCTAAGGAACCCTTCCTCTACGGCAATCCCGCCCCCACGAGCAATAGCACAGCAGATGAGGGAAACAAGGGTGACAGCCTCCACAGGCACAGCTAGAAGGAGTCCAGTGCCAGGGTGGATGGAGTAAGCTAGGCGGTCTGTAAACACTGCTTGATCAGAACCTGCTGAGATGGAGCCTGTCCTGTGAACACACACGCCAGGTGGACTCAGGCTCGCAGGAGGGAGCCGTAAACCAGGGAAGCACAGAGCAGGTGCACAGGCAGTTCCCACGGGGGACTCACGGAACGTGACCCGGCTGGACCAGGGCATGGGCTGTCCCCAGGCCCAGCAGGTCACCATCATGACCAGTTCCTGAGTGCGGAGGGCTGAATGCCTTCACCCACCTGCGTCCTCCAGGGAATGTGGACTACATGGACGGGGCTCCAGTCAGTCCTCTGAATCCTGATCCTCCCAGAGCCACCTGCGAACACCCTGCGCTGCCTGCAACATGACGGCGACAGTGTCCACACTGCACTCCGAACTCGGCTCTCCCCCGCGTGCTGCGTGTTTCTCCTGTGTATGCTTGAGCCGTTTTAATCTGTGGTGTGTCTACTCAGCACAGCACCGCACCCACCAGCCAGGCCTCGAGGCCCAACACACACTTCCACGGCCGCGTAACTCACGGGCACCAGGGCCTCCGGCGAAGCTTCTCCCACCACCTCTGTGGAATTGGATGATATTCTGAGATGTCAAGGTAAAAACGTTTTCATTCGCAACTGCTTGTCTTTGTGATTCAGTATTTTTTTCATATTGGGCATAGAGAGAGTAAGAAGAAATCTAGGGGGAAAATAGTGGCTGAGGGCTCTTACACGCCTGCAGCCGCCAGCCTCAGGTGTCCTTCCAAATCTGTGCCTTCGTGGGACCAGCCTGATCATTCTTACCCACGACTTCATGATAAAACACATCGTGCATATTTTAAACCTCTAGAATACATGTGTTGAGTTCCCACACTTTACTAGGGTGACTTTGATGGTTAAATGAAACAAATGTATTTGAAAAACACTTTGTAGTTTATATACATTAGTAATTCACAGATAGTAGCTGAATTCCTGACCCAAAGTTCAAAGAAGGTTCCCTCTGGCCTCCCCTGCACGGATCCCCTCCTGCCCTTATAGTCTATAAAGCAATACCTAATTGCTGTTTCACAGCTCCTCGGTGGGGGAGAGCCAGGAGGGCTGCAGGCAGTGGAATCAAGCTTGTTTTAGAAAGGAGGAAACAGCATCACTGGCGCCTGGGAGAGGAGAAGGAGGAGCGGGCCACAGCCCCCTCGCCAGCCAGCAGCCTCTCCAAAAGGACAGGGAGGGTTCTCAACTGACTGAAGGCATTAAGATCCAGGGGCATGCAGCCTCACGCATTAGCACTGATTAGCCTCCCAAGTCACCATT